TCTATCTTACATAACCCACTGTTATTTCTGGATTTCTCTGTTAACTGAAGTCATACTTAACTCTAACACAAATATACAAGAATCAAAACTACCATGATCTTAATGGAAATGAAAATAAGGCAGATTTGAGAGGTGATATGAAAAATTGAATTTATATCATCTCCAAGCTGAACTGCCTTACATTCCCTTTAAACTTCCTAAAATGACTCTTAATGTCCTGTCTATAATTCTTCTCCCCTGGCCTCCCACTTTGTAAATTCGCTAGTTCTCTCTAGTCAAGGACATCCAGTTTATCCCCACCTTTCTGGTGTGAACTGTCCCAATCCCTAATTTTCCAAACACGTTCCTAAAGCTGGATTACCTCCAATGTGTACTTTCCTCACTCCTACCTGCAGTCTTCCCCCACGCTGCTCTATCCTGCACCCTACTACATTTGTGTTGCTACATACCACGTTTAACAAGCCACAGCCCAGTTAAAAACCATTAATGGTTCACTACTGGCTAAATAGTGGTGCTACTACCTTTCACCTGCTAACCTTGCAATGCACATGACAGAGAATGCAAGCTGATCACGGCACTCTTTCCAAAACAGCAGCCAGAATCCTGCCCAACAGAATGTTTTAATATTGAGTTCTGACAAGGAGGAACTGGCACTCAGGAAGAAATCCCTTTGTATCCCTAATGCAAAATATCAAGTCTAAAGTACTTGGTCTGTATTTCAAAACTCCAAAATACCTGATTATGTTCTTGGAGTGCTATCTTGTTAGAACCTACCAAAAAATATGTGAAAGACTTTGAAATGGAATAAAAACTTATTAAGTGTCTCCGATAAATGGGGGAAGGGTTTTTAGGAACAACTAGAAAGGACACATGGACACAACCAAGGGAGGCCAGAACCAGGGGAGGGAGGTGGGGATGGTGGGGGTGGGGGGAGTGGTGGGAGGAAAATGCAAACAATTGTACTTGAACAACAATAAAATACTAATTAAAATGAAAAAAAAAAACCCTAGTTTTTGCCTAACACACTCTTCTTGGTATTCTGATTCTTCTAAAGCACAGGTGGCAAACACAAGGCCCTAGGGCCAAATCCCACCCTCCACCTTGTTTTATCTGGCCGGCACCTTGTTTCTACCCAGCGGCAGCACCAAGCTCTCGCTTAAGGAGTAGTTACATTTACACAGTCCTGAAATTACATTCGGCCCTCTGAAGGTAACAGTGAGGCTGATGTGGCCCCGGGTGAAAATGAGTTTGGTACCCTGTCCTATGGGATCTCTGTACCTGTCGGTGTCTTTGAGCTCTTTGTAACTCTGAATTGTAGATAACCGATGGCGATGCAAACAATTCTTGTTCATAGATACACAAATAAATTTTGTCCAGGGAGGTCCAGTTGATTTCCTCCCTCCACTGTGGAAAAGCCAGCTTTGCATCTATTTTAAATTCTTCAGTGCTCTTTAGTGCCTAGGTATGTGCGGTTCACTGTTCCATTCAGTCATTTATAACACTTACTCATTCTCCCATTAATTAACAAGTTAAGCAAACTCATTTGTCATTAGCTCATTTTTTAATATGTATGAGTCATGATTTTGTGATTTTACCCTTTAAAAGCATCCTTTTAACAAAGTCTTTGTTCACTACTACCTTCCAAGTCTGTATCCTCACTATGGAATGACTTCCCTGGCTCTTTCTACCCCACACTACAGATTCTTCTCATTTCAGAGATGCTTCTGGTCCCCTAAAACTAATCTAATCATGTCCTCAAACTACAAAATCTATTATTTTTCATAACGAACCTACACTGCCAATGGTGTCTTAATTTATTTTTCAATTATTTTTTATTCATAATGGCTTCTACAATATGTATTACCCGTTTCATTCATGCACCATAGTGTATTTTTATCTGACATCATTAACTGATTTATATATAAGTAACTTCTCTTCTAAATTAAAGTGTAAGCTCCTGGAGAGAACCGATCACGATTTGTTTTTCCTCCTCTTCAGAGACAATGCACTGCTTTACACAGTGCCCAATAAACACCTGCTGTGAATGCCATTCATGGCCCATGATCTGGGCTCTCCAGCAAGATCTTTTTCAGGCTATCGCTTAGTCTTTATTTGGGAAATCACCTGCTATATTTTGGATGAAGGTGGTTTCTTCTTAGCAAAATTCACACTAAACTTTAATGAAAATTGTTAGTTTCTGTGAAACACCCCATAAAGTACAGTGCTGATCAGAAATGCTAGGAAGGAAAAGGAATACATTAATCTACCTCTGGGAGAATTTTCCCCCTAACTAATGGACTCGTATATACTGATACTCTACAAACCTTTACCCCTAAGTGCTCTTACGTACCCTTCTTATGTGAAGGTCAAACACGTTCAATTCAGGATTCATCATTTCATGCTACAGACATTTATTGTCCACTACACAGAAATTTTTGACAGGCCCTGGGATGCATTTGCAAGTAATTTGTCATTTTTAATCCAAGAAGCTTACCTGCTAGTGAAGGAGGAAAGGGGCAAATGGAGGAAGAGGAGGAAAAATGGACACAGGGGTGTGGCCTAAGCATTCAGATAACTGGTGACAAGACCAACCAGGGTGCTCATTACGATGAAAAGACCATCTTATGTTTCATAATCTATTATAACTACTGAAGTTTTAAAATCAATCTACTGTAAATACTAATGAAACAATGGAATGCCAGACTTTGGCAGATTCCAATCACCATAATATACACCCCCATTCAATGCCTTATGTGCCCTTAACCACCAACCCAGCCAAATGTAGACCACCAACACTTTCTTATGGTTTAAGTGCTGAGTAATGAGGGAATAACAGATGATCTTAAGATCACTTTCAGCATATCTGACCTTATGAACTGTAAAATGCTTTAGCAGTTGAGTGGTCTACCAGTGCATGTAAAGTCAAAGGACTTCATAATATTTGAGCATTAACATTATTACTTGAGCACATTCATTTTTATGGTTTTACTTAATTACTTCAAATTAAACCCATCTTGAGAAAATTGGCACTATAAAAATCCTATTCCATTTAATCAATTTTTATTTTTCTCATGACAACTTTTTATTTTTACCTTTATTCCTAAAGGAATCCTTAGAATAAGGCACTTATAATTCTACTCCACAGTAGTTTTAGTAAAGAGATTATATAAATAAAAAAAGACTAACAAGTACTAATGAATGTTATAGGCTTTTTGTTATTGTTGATATAATTTTCAGCTTCATGTGGCATACTGGTATAACTAAAATGTTTAAATAAGAAACAATAAACAATCACATAATGATAATGATAAGCTAACATTTGGTTGGTTCTAAATATTTTCACATATACTTTCTCTCTTAATGCTCACAATTTAATATAATAAGTTTACTTATAATCATGTTTACAGATGAAGAAATCAAGGGACAAGCAATCTGCTAAAACGTCATATAAGTGGCATTTTGTATGCTGAGCTTAAATCCTCAAACTCAAAATTTCTGTTCTTGTTCATACTTTTTAAAAGAGCATTTAGTTCATAAGCCAAATCCTGTTGGCAAGACACTCCCTAAGGTTAAGTAAAATATATGTGGAGGAACACTAAACATTTTATTCCCCTACAATGTCATCATGCTGAAACTGAGAAGGTCAGTGTACTTTCCAAATGGCCCAGTTAAATCTAAGGAATAGATTATTTACCGACGAGGGTCTGGACACTGTCAATCAAAGTCACTTGTTTACACAGGACTAAAATGTGCTCAATTAGCATCTTTCCATTCCTCACTCTCACAAAATAAATATTTCATTCTTCATTAGCCTAATTGTTTAAAAGTTCCTTATTTTTTCCTGTTCCTTAAATATATGAAAATCATCACTAGGCCCAAGACACTCTTAATATTTTTGTGTCTTTTCTTAAAGTCTTTTTTAACACAAAATATGTATATTTAATACTTGTATCGTACTCTCCATTATACCTTTATATACCACTGTCCCCTCACGTAACAGCATGCTAATACTTACTTTTTAAAAATATGACTTTTTATGGCTGAATAATATTTCATCATAAGGTGGTACCATAATTTATTTAACTGTTCTTTCAATTCATATGGCTTTTATTATAAAAATGTTTCTTTATAAAAGTAATACAAAACTTTAAAAACAGGATAAATGAAATCACAGCCCTAATTCTTGTCTAACAAGTCACTTTTATGAGTTTTGCTCATTCTCTTGTATTCTTTTCTCACATATCTCTCATTTAATGTTATTATGAAAGTACACATGATTTTATGCATTGAATTTGTTTCCATTTAACATTGTATTATATGTCTTTTCCATAACTGTTGTGGCAAAGTGGGAGGAAACCCTACACTACATCTAACCATTACTTTATTATCAAACAAAAAGCCACGTCCCCTTTTTATTCTGAAGTCATCTAAAATAAATCATTTTTCAGTTAATACTACTGGTATGTAGTCTTTACATTCATGTACTTAAAAAATATTTCTTAATACTACTAGATCCCTGCAAGTAATATTATTGAAAAAAAGCTGACCAGTGTTTATCGTTATTTTTTGTATTAGTAAAAATGCTGTAAAAATATTAAAGTTGAATATCTGGACTCCAAAATACATATAGCATCCTGATCTCAGTTTTTTATCAGCCAGTCCTTTTAGTGACTGAGGAATACAGAAACAAATATACAGGGTATTGATTACATTTAAACTAATTATATTTTCCATAAATTAATATATCTTCGCATCATCAGAATAAAGAGAGCAGTGTCCACTTACATGTGCACATTTTTGTTTTGTTTTTTTTTTTTTTCATTTTAAAAGTCTGTATCCACATACTGTTCACATACAATTTAGCTTGTTTTAACCTTTGAGTTCCAGATGCAGTTTTGGAAATGCTCCCTGGAACTGCTTCCTGTGGGGAGCGCTCTGAAACCCACCCCAGGACACGACAGCAACCCCGACAAAAGGACAAAGAAAATGGCCCCACTTACCGTTTCTAACACATTCACACGGTCCTGCAAATAAAGCATAGCATACAATTATAAAAACAAAGCCATTAAAATAATTTCAAGTTTATGTAATAGATTTCCTTTTTATTCTCAGCTAGTGATCACTTAGTTTTAAGATGTAAAAAATGAGGATTCAGGATGATCTCCGCAATAGGATGAACACAAGAGCACCACTATACCTTTTCTCACCTGTGCAAGCGTTAGGACTACAGGGTTTAAGTGCACAGCAAATACCACAGGTCCATATATAGTTACAAAATGGAATAGATTTTACTACTTTCACACTGGCAAATGTATTTGTCTACTGAAGAATATATAATATTAGATACATTTAAATACATCAACCACACATAGATCACAGTAGCGATACGAAAAAGGAATTTAGCAATATATCAGTTCTCAATTAGGTGTACAGCAGAGTTTGATCTCACAGGAAGGTCAAGTTCAGACATAAGGAGAAAAAAAAGAATACTTTATCAAATAAAATTAATAAGTAAATTGTTCATTAAAACAAGGCAAGAAAGATAAATGAGAAATACATGTTACTTGCAACCAATCCAGACAGGTCTTCATGGCTTAGAAGATTTTACAGAAATATTGGTCTGTAAAAGGATTACTGAGAGTAATGCTTAAAAAAATAAAGAATCAAGAAAACATTTGCATTCTCCATCCAGCAGTTGTATTCTCAACTCTTCTCAGAGCTGACAGCTACCCCCCGGGAGTTTTCCCAAAGACAGAAGGCTGAATCTGAGTGGGAGGAGAATCAAGATTTAAGAAAGTGGAAAGCCATCCTTTCCGGGAAGGGCAAGGCCATTTTTCTTCCTTTCCTTTCATTTTAAGCAGTTGGATGAGGTATGTGAAATCTTTTTTTTTTTTTTTTTTTTGTTAATTTGTTTAATCAAACTAATCATTGAGTCCCACAAGGAAAAGGGGCAGGTATGGTGCAGAGAGCCACTCAGATCAGGGGCCTCGCAGCAACACGGGGACCACCACAGACCCACGCCATGCGGGGGCAGGAAGAACGTGGCCCACATCTCCGCTCCCTCAGCCTCACCGAACACAGCTCCCGGCCCCAGTCTGAGGACTTCTGCAACCCAGCCTCCGAGCCTCAAACTGGGGGACTTGGGTTGCACATTTCTACCCTTAAACATTTGGCTGTGTGGGTACAAGTTAAGTGAACAAATTATGCAAAATCAGCCCACAGCAGATGGTTTTTAGCAATATACTCTGTTCAACTACATTTTGTTGGCACACTTGAGAGGACCTCACCCTCGAACCCAGAGTTTCATGAAGTAACTGCTATTTTGCTGGTGACTTGTGGGCTGTCACATTTGAGTGCTTCATGATAAATGCACCTAATGTCTCAAGTGGGCTTTGATATGTTGTTGCCAGGCATCTTATTCACAGTGTATCTGGGACAAAACCATTTGGCAATACTTTATCATCCTTGGCAGACTGAACAGAACCTCATTAGATGCCTCAAGGAGACAGAAACAGCCTTTGTACCACATCACGTTTATATGAGCCATCTCAGAAGGCTCAATATTTTCAGAGCCACTGTTTGGGCCTTAAGTTTTTCCCATAACATGTATTTATGGGCACATATTATTAGAGATTTGCATATTTTAAAAAGCACATATGCAGCTGGTATGTAATAAGTAATTTCATATGATGTCAAAGCAGAATTGAATTAAAATATGTCTAAATTCATAACTCAAGTGTTTGGCAAAAATAAACTTGAATATTTGTTACAGGATTTTAAAAGAAACATGTACCGTTGTGGACTACACATTTTATCCTAATGAAATTCACATGCTGAAACCCCCAAGTGTGATGGCATATGAACACGTGGCCTTTGGAAGATAATTAGGTCGTAAGGACAGAGCCCTCAAGATGGAACTAGTGTCCTTATAGGAAGACACATGAAGACACTTGCTGCTCTTTCTGCTCTCTGCCATGCAACAACATAATGAGAAGATGGCCTTCTCCAAGAACCAGATCTGCCAGCACCTTAATCCTGGACTTTCCAGCCTCCAGAACTGTAAGAAATAAGTGTTTGCTGTGTGAGTCACCCAGTCAATGGCCCTGTAATTTGTTATTACAGTCCAAGCTGACTGAGAAGACCTGTGCCTGGTCTGTAAGACTGTTGAGAAATGGTAAAAAAAAAAAACCTCCATTTTGTTAAATTATAAAGGTCAATAAATGATTTTGATATTGATACAATTTACTTACGTGTATTTGTCTATAACCTACTTCATTCCCAATCAATAATTATTTTGATGCAATTTACTTATGTCTTTAACTGACTTCATTCCAATATGGTACTAAGACAGCTTTCCATAAAAAAGTACATATTCAGAAAAAGAAAATTCAGGAAATAGAAACATTCAGTGTATTAACCTAAACTTAAATAATCCAATTTGCCAATCAATAACTAACAGGATACCAGCCATTGAAGCCAATTAGTGAGCTCTGTCTAAATGTAGTTTTTTGGTCTTAATTTTAAGACTTTAAGTAAAAAGAACCTACACCTAGTCTTTATAAACTTATTAATTTGCTTTTAAAATTTAAGAAATATATTTTGTAATTTAAATATTTATAGCCAACTTCCTTTTTGGCAGACAATGTTGGTTATTATAATTCTGTACGTAAAGGAATTAGGCTACTGCACACCCTTATTCTCAAATAAAATATCTGCATACTTTCTCTCTTGTTCTTATTCTTAAAACAGAGGTAACTTAAGCCAATTCTGTGGCATTAATACAATCTATAAAAATGCCCGTATATGTCCTAGAATTAACATGCAATTATAGCAGAATAAACTCTATTCTTCTTAACCTCTCCCACTCTTACTAGAACTGCAGTTGGAGTGTTTGGTTGTTGAAGTCTAATCTCCATTTCCACAGATTTGACCGTCAAGCTCAAATCAACCTTCTGGTTCAACACTTTCCCAGCTCCTCCTTCACAAACACCTCCCCCCCTGGCTCGAGCCTGGGTCCTGAAAAGGACTGTTAGGACTCTGAGAGTGGGGTTAGGAGGTGGGAAGAGTGAGATGCCCCCCAAAGTAATGAACTATAGGCACTCTCACTATAATCATATTTCAGGTGGGCTCAGTAAGACAGTGGCTCTCATTTGTGTAGTCATGGACTTGGACAGTCTAACGAAACTTGATCTTCTCCCCAGGACTGTACATTGCCCACCCCACACACATAATTCTGCACACACTTTCAGGGGAACTGCAGACTCTCTGAAGCCCACCCATGGGCCCTCAAGTCCTTTTACTCTAAATAAGATGTGAAATAAGATGTAAGAATATTATGTAAATAAATTATTTCATTAAATCAAATCTATTTCTCCTGTATGAAATATTTCTAGATAAATAATAGCAAAAACAAAGGGGAAAATGCCAATTGGGAGTGGAAGGTGCAACAAAAATCAAAGGAAAAATTTCCTTCAAGTATTCTGAACAAAAAGTTCTTGGGGAAAACAACCTGTTTTGTTGCTATTGCTTTTTTGGGGATTGGATATTATTCTCTTTTCCACTACTGTTTATTTCTAAGAAAGGAAAAGTCTAACACATAAAATAGCAACAATTATTTTACTGTTTACTCTTAAAGATTATAAATGTAGTCACTGCATTGTCACTGAGTTATAACGGAGCCAGCTGGTCTCACCAATGTGAATATTACCCTTATTTCCAAGGGAAAGCAATGCTGCTACACTCAACATGTTATGTCTATTTGACAGATCAAGTGGGGGAAGCCTATAGCATATTTACTACAGAAATATGTATTCTATTAAAAAATTCTTTAAATATGTATTTTATCTTTTTATGATGAGGTTAGTAACTTGCCTTGAGCTGTATATATTCCTTTGCTACTTGGTCATAACAGGGTATACACTGGAATTTATAACTGAACAAAGGCAAATTCATTAGTATCATTGGAAATGGGCAAAAATTTGTAGGCTAAGTTAGGATATGGGCACTAAATGGATCTTTAGTATCTGAATCCCTGATCATTAACAGTTTATTTGATTCAGCTGAGCCAATCAATTGGACACATTGATTCACACAATCCATCTAAGCCATGAATTGGAGGCCTAATAGGTCTAAATAATCAGAGTTCTTCTGTCTTTGCTAAGCATAGGCGAACAAGTCCAGTGGCTTCATTTTATCACAATAATGCAGCATTTTCCAAGAATACTTTAAATATATCCAGTAGCACATGAAAAAACATGATACTGGCATAAAAATATACCAACCATTTCTATCCCTTCCAAGGCTAAGAGGCTTTAAGAGTACAGTACAGAATGATTTTGGAAATTTCTCTGACACTGAAGGCTTATGGCAGACAGATAATTTTAAACAAGAAAAACCCACAATGGGGACTCCCTCCCATCACTGCTGGAAAAGCACAAAGCCTCTCTTCTGGAAGAAAGGTCCACCTGGCTTCTTCCAGAGAGACCACTGCATGGCATTTTCCCTGTCCGTGCTAACTCTGTTTCGTCAACACTCACATTTTACCTGCTACTTCCTATATGAACGATATAAAATTAAATGCAAATATGTACTGTTTCTTCTTGACGCATTTCCACGTAGCAATCCATTACACTTAACAAACTGCCAATCATTTTTTAATAAATAAAAGAGCTAGAAATAATTTCAAATGTATTCCTTTCCAAACTTCAAAATATTAAAAGAAAGAAAAGGCTGTTATTAACCACCACAGAAAAAGATCATTGTGTGGTGATTTAAAGCAAAGGAAAACAAAATAGAGATAAAAAATCACAAACGACCTGAACATTGCCACATCAAAAAAGATACAGAATATAGCATAAGTTGGCTCTGAATTACCAAATGAATAAGCAATCTACACATAAAATTGTATTTGGTCTATTAAAAGTCAGACCACGTTACTCTATACTTGTGAGAAACTTTAGGGTGGGTGCTGCTACCCAGCTGGCCGTGGTTTCCCAAGCCCCAGTGTTGGAGTTAGCCATCATTA